AGATGACGAAAAATTAAATCCGGTTATTCCGGTTTTGCATGATAAACATCAATCACCTGAAATGGTGTGATTGCATAGAAACGTATAATAATGGATATAAACGATTAAAATGCATGACGACGTCTATTTGAGGCTATCCTTTCTCCCCCATGATCGATTCGCCGGAGTTTTGCAAAAAAAATACCAAATTGGGTTTATTCATGCATGAGTATAATGGTAAATTCATACACGTACTGTATTGTATATTATTAAATGACATATGTACTGTATTATAGGGTGAACACTCCTGCACGTTTTGATACGTCATTTTTCTAATACGCATTCATCATTGTCACTATCGAGCTAAACTGGGTGTCTTATGAACTCTACAAATTCTGTTCTGTACTGAAATACATATACATATTTACATTTAAATGTGTGAAGCCAACAGGTGATTGTAAAGAGGAACATAAATGTAGGTTGCACGAATCCACCATTAAGAAATGCGCACAAGTGATCAAAAAGATGTCCATAGAACTTTCGCCTTTGGCGAGACCCTGGCCGATCTTTCCCGGAATAGAAGATTTGAGGAACAATGCTACACCCGTTGATCGTTTCCGAACAATGATCAGCTTCTAAATGGGTAATTATTTTTCGGAGGAATCGAAATAAACGAATATTCTGAACCATCGTCATGTTGACCGCAGATTTAATACCGACATATTTGCAACTATGCATGATAAATAAAAAGAATTATTAAATACATACCATAAATTATTATGTAATGTTTGCGTGGGTGAGGACTCGCGTAATGTTGAAGTATCGTATTGTATGGGCAGAGTGAACGGCAAATCACTGCAACAAGTAAAACAACGTTCCCCTCTTGTTTTACCCTTCCCACCTATGATATGTCTGGTTCATGAAAATTTATAGACTGTATACAGTATATGGCAACAAAAAATAAAGCTAAATGATGAACGACTCGAATTTTTTTTAATAATAAAATAAAAAATTTCGATCTATTTTATTTTAAAAAAATATTAGATAATAATATAATCGATAGATGGGTTTAATACTATTCTATGAATTATCTAGTGGATGGTTCAAAATTTTCTAATCCCATATTACTGCATTGTACATGCACCTATCAAAACTTTATAGTCAAATTCAAAACCATAAAACTTGGGTCAAGTAATTTTAGAATTCTATTAATGTTAACTGTATATACTGTAGGTATTATATGTAATTTTTTTAAAAAATAATATATATAATATGGTATACACACTGTACATGCCTGTATATACAAAAACTAAAAATTGAAGAAAATAAATTTCACGATTGAATAAATAAATTCAAAAAAGTATTTTATTTTACTTTATTTTATGTTATTTTATTTTGATTTACTTTATTTTATGTTATTTTATTTTGATTTATTTTGATTTATGCATATACCGAAATATCATGATAGCATATTCAATTTCTATATATATACTGTATATTGTTTATTAAATAAATTTTGGCAAATAAAAAATTAATGCTGTAATAAAAATAATAATAAGTTTGGATTTGATGATTTTTATAATTAGCCAACCAATTTATCTGGATCTTTACATTTTGGATGTTTTTTAATGTCTTGAAATTTTTTTTAAAAAATCACAAATTATTTGTATGGTTCAAAGTTTTCTTATTATTTTGATTTTCTAGGTATTTATTGTTGCAAGCATAAAATTTTAATAATTACCATGATTATCTTAATTACAAACGACTTTTAAAAACATGCCGTGAATATTACGTGAGATTGTGTAACAGACATATGTTGGTATGCCAAAACGGGAAGACAAACTTTCAAACTTGTTTGTAATCAATATTTCAGACTTCCGGATGTTTTCCGACATGCCTTTTAGGAATTTGTGCATCGAAATGTCATCATTGAGCTCTTCCCGCAAGAGTTTCGGTGCATTTTCCTTATTTCCTTTTCATCATGGTCCATGACTCGTGCCGGAGGTTGAATAATCTCTCTTCAAGCCTCTAATCAGAAAATACCTTCCTTTCGGGTATCCGCTTCTCCTGACAATGAAATCCAAAAATAAGGTCAAATCAGAAAACTCATTTTATAAATAGAAACGAATTATTGTTGATTAATGGTAAAGCGAATCGCTAATGGGCGACAAACTTGGCATGACTATAGGGCACTTTTTTGGATTCTCATGGGTATCCGTCATTTCCAAATTAGGCTCCATATACAGTATGTTCGAACAATGGGTGAACTTTTGTTGACTCTCGGACTTTAACGGGGAGCACACAATTTTTTGTCCACGGTTCACTTCGACAAAGAGAATGTGTCCATTGATGTGTGAAAAGTCACATTTTCTTTGACACAGGGATTTCATGTGATATTTGCGAAGTGCGTGCGCATCATGAGGCACTCGAGCCTGAAACCAACATTTCCTCACAAGTGTCCATTGTAAGTAAATCCGATGACTTTTGTGAATCGTTAAAATTGAGCATGACGGAGAGTGTAAAGAATTCGAAAGAATGAAAGAAAATCGAGGAATGAATGATAAATTGATAATCGAATGAATGAATAAGTGAATGAATGAACGAGCGAACAACTTGTAGAACAATATCCGGGTGAAAGGGAAAGTGAATACAAAACTTGTGCCGCGAATTTCAAAGTTGCACAGACCGAAGATCATGAGCATAGATGGTGCGAACGTCCTTCTTTTGTCTTCGAAAATTTTTTAGAACATTGTCCTTCTCACATTGTTCCACCCTTTTAGAAATACTATTAAGAGGTGTCCTTCGGTGAAATTCGGATTTATGATTAATTTAGGTTTATTGTTCGCATTAATTCAGATTTATTGTGAGTCACATGCACACATCTCACATTTAAGCCGATTACCGTCGTTCGTCCATCAAATGATTAGAAATAATCGATTGTTCTTTAATGGCTTTCGCATCATTTCTGGACTTAATGAAAAATTTTCAGTGTCCAACCAAAATGTCATTTGCTGATTGGTTAACGTGTGTTTTAATATGCACTTGACGAAATGAAGATAGATAAATTTTACTGTACATTGGTTTACAATAAGATCACCATCACCATGGAACCTTTGGAATATTCTTGAATTGGTGATACGATCAAATGTCATTTCATGCCATTTTTTTTTTTTTTTTTTTTTTTACAATTGGGGGCTCAAAATATTCGGTGAACAATCTTCACCCCAATCACCTTTCCCTGGTGGCTTGTAAAAACATCACACCCGTCAGCATTTTCCTTATCCCATTTGAGACTCATATACGCGATATCGACGTATCATGTATGCATCCGTATATAGATGTAGTCGGGTACAAAATTCAGATCTTTGGTGGTGGTATGAGCAAGGGGATTCTTTGCGAATGATTTGGCACTCCACGTGAATCGATTCTTTCATGTGGAGACACTTATGTAATAATCCAGCGCGCGAAAAAGGAAATATTTTCGGAGCTTTGGGAATCCGTGAATGAATTTAAGTTTAAACATTGATTTCTAATAATAGATCTTAAGAGACAGAGAGTTGAAAATGACCCGAACAACTTTCCTAATATCGCACATTCTTGATGCCTAACCAAGAAAAGCGAATCGGCTGTTCAAGGACCAATAGAAACGTCAGTCTGTAATGTTGATCATTGCTGGATTGAAGTTTCTCTTGCAGCCAGACGACATGATCAATGTTCTTAAATTCTTGTGATTACGTACGCAAATTTTTGCACCTAGCGTGCCTAACATATAACCTATGTTGTCTCATAGCCTGGTGAATCTTCACGGACGACAACGCAAAAGGTAAGAAAACTCGTTAGCAAGAAAGAAAATAATAATCATGCAAGAGTTTATTCCCGACTCACACATGATGCATGAAAATTTATCATCTTCAATCACACCTTAATTTGTTTACAAAATTAGGCCATGGGAAATGTTGCCATCATGTCAAGTAGAATGTGCACTTTCTCGGAAGATGCTCGGACGGTATAAACAGTGCATCAAGAACAAGATGCAAGTGGCTTGTATTCCCAATCAAATGCGAAAATAAAGAAGTACTGTTAAATTGGTTTCCGATTCTCTTGGCAATCATCGTGTGTCACATTCGCAAGTAATTCATACCAACCATAATTCACGTACACCTAAATTATCAACATAGCGAAAAAGCGGGCGCAGGTTTTGTGTAACATGTTCTGGTCTGGTAAAACGAGTAAAGGTAGCGTAGCGTAACGTACGTACAAGGGAGACATAATGTAAACCACAATTTTGGGAATCTCGAAATGGCAAAATGGTCTACGGGTTTTTTTTCTCTACTGTATAATCACGTGTACTGATCATGTCTGACGAAAACCGGTGGTGCAAAATTCCGAAATTCCGATGGAAGCACTTCTTCTTGCTGGAAGGTTTAAACTAATAACGAATGCGCGTGTATGCACAGCATCTACAGATTCCTCCTCATCCGTTTCAAGAGCACATTTTCGGCATAACACAACGCAAACCTGAAGAAATTCATAATTCTATTTCAAAAATTTTTCCTTGACCAATAAACTGGTGTCGAGCACATTACAATAATGCAGAAATATTGATGGTTTGAAACAGGAACTGATCTCCATTCGTTCTACATAATGTCAATAATCGGATAATTATGAGCTAAGCCATTTGTCATAAGATTTTGTTGGATCTTCATGAATTTTGACCAAAAGAAACCATCGTAAACCTTAGCAAAGAGTTTTTTCCCTAATAATCCCTCGAATTAAATGAGCTTCCCACCCTTTCTCATGTTTCAGAAGGCTCGTTAAGGATTAGCGCAAGAATCACGTGCAACGTTCTTTGAAATACAAAATTCTGTGTCACAATCGCACGAATCCTTTTTTGGTGTAGTGACCTGTTACGAGATTACGCGTTCTGTTACAAAGTAGTTGTTGATAATACTTCATGGTCCGTGTTCATTATTGGTTTATTACGTAATGGCTAGCAACGATCATTCGCTCATGCCCCATTGCCAAGAATACGTTTACGTTTCGTACGTCAAAGAATTCTAAAAATAGTTCATAAAATGATGATGCTTAACTTTACTTGTCTTATCGGGAAATATGATATAGTGTCTTTGGCTCGAAATTGCGTCACCGGTTGCTGGGTCTTCTCTGGTAAAGATAAGAGGAAAGACTTAATCACGCACGCACGCACGTAATAATGTTAATTTGCGGCCGCATAAATAAACCTGAAACTTTCCATCCCGCGTTTTGATAGGGGTGTTCGCGAGATGAAAACAAAGAATCTCTACTTCGCATAAATAAGTTACATATATTATCAACAAAGAAGTGGTCTGGTCTGGCTGGTTTTGTCGCCGGTTTTTTTCCCCGATTGACACCGATAAGCAGCAGAAATTTGATCATAAGTGTCAAACAAAGGAGTGAAAAGAGCCTTTGAAGAAGGAAAAAAAAGGTGTAATTGCCTGTTCTGGTGATCACTTCTCGGAGTTAAAAAAGACGAAGAATGAATTGCCTTAATCCACCAAATCCAGAATGCTCAATTGATAGTTTAAAACAAGTACAATATACTGTATTAGAGGTTTAAAGAAATTATGTGTAACTGTAGACGGAGTTTAATTTACGTATGTGTAAATATCAATTACGCGCTTCTGTCACATATTGACCTTTCTCATTTGTGTATGGCTACATGACTGGACCCGAGTAAAAGAGTTATATTCGGCCATTCGGTTTCAAAGTGGGGAGCTATCACGCGTCACACACACGTCACAAACATCCCATTCACCGACAAATTATATGATATGGCGTAGCGAAAGGAGGTAACAATTTAACCATCGAAGAGTGCTCTGTACACCCCCAAAACTTCCACAACGAAAGTTCCAAACTTTTACACGTGATGCACAGCCACCCTACGTAGATCGCTAATCCCAAGTTGGTAAACGACTTGTGATCAGTGGAAACAACATGATCGGTAGATGTTACTAGAGAAACTACGCAAAATCATTAGAACCCTTATTCCATCTTTTTGTTATGACTAATGAGTGAGGAATGAATTGGCGTAGAACAAATGTATTACCAAAGAGAAATAAAAAGGCTTCCCTCGAATTTGTTGGAAGAAAAAGACAAATTTCGGCGCATCAATAACGTTCGTTTATGATTTAAGATTTCCATAATTGGAAACGTAATTTATCGACGAACAAGGAATGTCGTCAACGCGACTTTAGATTTCACAAAGATTAAAGTTGTATGTCTTGTTCTCCCCTTTAGTGTAATTGGAAAATTGCAATATTCTCATCATTTCACGGTTATGTGTGATTATACGTGACACACCTCTCTACCTTTTTTCTCCAACCGCGGTGCCCATCTTTCATAGATTATTACTGTACTTGGTTCGCTATTAAGAAAAACATTGTTTTTACCAATCCCACCTGATTATTAATAATATATGCAATATAAATTATCAGGAAATAGACAGTAGACAAAAATGTTTTTATCAAACATCACATCAAGTCATAATCAAATGATGGCAATATTGTTATTAAATTGATATTCTTTAAATATCAATTCATATCTTGATATATCAAATAATTATTTCAGAAGACACGGATTTTTTGAGATTTCAATGTAATATCTGTGTATTATAAAACACACACACATGGTGTGTATATTAAAAATTGATATCGTACATTTGGGTTAGGCGATTTTTTTCAATCCACCGTGTATACGACATATTATTACAAAAAAAAATTCGCGATAAAATGTTTTTTAATTAAAAGATCGTATGTTGTTATTTGCAAAGTTTGCATATTATGATCATAGTATATACTGTATTAATACATTAATAAAGGACATCAATCATGTCTTGACAAAAAGATCTCCAAACATGAATAATTTTTTTAGTTGACGGGCGGGATGAGATGATGATTACGCGTTGTCTTTTATGACGAAATACGATAAAAACTCCGTCGTTTGTTAATATATTAATTACCCTTTCTTTCTCTTTAAAACATACTAAATGCAAAGCAATTCACAACCTGTTGCGCTTTACAATAAAGGTTTGACCGGTTATTGGCACGATGTTTGCGAGGAGATGAAAAATTCGGGATGGTGTATTAGACGTAGGTGTATTACTCAAAAGGCGATTCTTTTTTTTTTCTGACAATTTGAGTCGCGTTTGTGATGCAACCTTGTTCGATTAAAGTTATCGAATCTACCCAAGGAACTCCTGGCGTAAGTAATTGTCATCTCAAAGTATTTATTCGCTTGTTGATAATCGCTTATACCTCCCGGAAATCAGGATATAACTCTCCCAAAACCAAATATCACGTTTCTCTGTTTCAACGATGAACTTTGGAATTCTTGTGAATCTGAAAACGATATAAATGAATTCATCGAAAACTTATCCAACAGGTGGGCGCTTCGGATGATAGTTATAAATTATTATTAACAATATCTAATCTATTGGTCCTTTTATCTCACAGGATCCAAAGGTCGATTCAACGTCACCACAAAGCCATCCTATTGCTTCACATTGAGAATGAAGATATTCAATTGTTATATGAAATTCAAACACGGTATGTACGAATACGAATAACATATGCGCCAATATTGTTAAATATGACTTTTTTTCAAAAGTAATTTGTTCTTAATTTCATTTCCGTAAAGACTTCTGGCATTCTGCGTCAATATCAACATTCTTCCCGTTCACAACCCGAAGGAGACGACGACCTTACTGCGTATATTTTACGATGGATTGCTTCCTGAAAATAAGCCACAAATTGCTCGACATTTAGACAATGTTATTCACGATGTTTCTTTTTTTTTTTCCGAATCTTTATAATGAATATTAAATAGATTAATCTTTAATATCCCAGGAAATAAAGAAGAAAATGTGCGACCCAACAAATTTAACAAGTACCAACAAATGGATTCATCTCGTTACCCAAATGTCAGCTGGAACCAGGAAGCTTCGAGTGCACGGTATCGCTGACCTTGATCCTTGAGAATTTTTGAAACAATAAGCTGCTTTATCTTTTTCTGTTGTCTTACTATCGGTTTTGCATTCAGATTGTTACGTTCTGCAAGAGGGTCTTCAAACGCTATATAAGATGGCGACGGCTACTGAATCACAATTATTGAATTGTTCGTTGAATACAGAAACTGCGCATGACATTGTAAAATTCTTTGAAGAAGATTTTCTTTCTTAGTTTGAAAAGTTATAATGGTCAATAAAATAAAATAAATACAATTGATAATTGTTTATAAAATAAAATTTAAGTTTAATTTTTATATGCTTGATTTGATTTTTAATACTAAATTATTTACTTTTTATTAAACCTTGCATCTCTAATGCTTGTTAATAAATTTAAATATCAAATGGGTATTGAAATAGTATCAAAGTGGTATCATTAGGGGTTCTAATTTCAATTGTTTTTTTTTTTTTTCAATTACAATGAAATTATATTTTTTTGACAAAAAGTTTTTTAGATAATTTTGATTTAAAATTAATCATGTACAGTAAATCATTATTTATTAACCTTACAAGTCAATAATACAGTATAATAAATAATACTCTCAAAGCTTCAAATACATATTTTTAATTCAACAATATTCATAGAACACAAGTATATAAAATATTTTTTATATATAAATTTATTAATTTATATATATATATCTATAATAATTTTATTTGTAATTAAAATATAAGTTTAATATAGTGGACATACATATAAGAATAAACAATTTTGTTTATTTTCAAGATCATATCTAGAAATAATCTTATTTAAAACAAGTATTCAAATATTATATTTAAAAAGTTTATATATAAAAGTTGTTAAATCACTATGGATAATTATTTTTGAAAGCGATGAAAATAATAAATATGTTTTTTTGGCACCTACTTTAAACAATACATATATAATGTAATTTAAGGAACACAATTATAATATTCAAAAAATTCCTGTCCACCTTTAAAAATAATCACACATATATTCTATATTAAGATTAAATAAATTACATATAGTAAATACTTGCTTGATTATAAAAAAAAAAATAAGTTTTATATAGTAAATTACTATATAATATATATGTTAAATTTATTATAAATTAATATTATTTCAGTATTGATTTGAAATTTTATTTATAAGTAAAAATCTTTTTAATAATTTTTATTTCAATTTAATAGTTCTATTTTTTTCTAATAAATTATTAATCTAAATTTTAACAAGACTATAAAACTATATAAATATAAAATAATCTTTTTTAAAATAATTATTTCAAAATATTTCAATTATTTTTTTTTATATAATATCAATCAATTAGAATTAAATTCTTATTAAGAAGTAATTTATGAGATTTAGATAAAGTTAATCAATAACTTTTTTTATATAATTTTTTATATTATAATTTATTTTAATTTTATAATTATCAAAAATATCAGAAGTTCTATTTATATATAACTTAATTAATTATAAAAATATTAAGATTGTTTTAATTACAGTATATATAATTAAACCAGTTTAATATATATATAAAAATATGTGTTATATTTTACCTCTTATAAATATTAAATCAAGGATATATATTTGATAATCTAAAAATATTATTTACTACACTATTAACTTACAAATTAAAAATACTTTTTTTTTTTTTATATAAGTAAACATTATTTCTTTATTTGATTTGTATATTAAAAATATATATCATGAAAGAAACAACATCCCTCATTTGTAAATATAGTGAATTTAATGTTAGCTTGCCTACAGAAATCAAATAACTAATATTGAAAATAAAATTTTAAAACAATATATCTTGTCAGTTGGTACCGAGTGGCTATACTTACCTACTTGATATTGGAAGAAATAGAATTAGAATAGTTTTGGATTAGTTTAGTAATATATTTGAAAAAGTTGAGATTGTTTTGAATATAGATGTATATGACTAAGGTAAATAGGTCAACTGTTGTTGTCAATTCTTATATGGATGAAGATTTTTGTAAATTAGATTTGGAAATTGTTTGATTATCTTTGATTATGTTATTAAGAGATTTGTCTTTTCATTTTATATCATTTTGTGAAGAGGTGTTGATCATAGCACATCATGGTTTCCATATGGTGTTATATAATTGTGTTAGGGCTTCAGTTGACATTTGTGTCTAATTATTAAAGTCTAATAGGGAGAAGATGCTATTAGTAATACTGCATGCTAGCTTTACGACCTGCCATATATGGGTTATTGGTTCTAAGTCACCATTAGATTAAAGGATAAGATTGATTTGCTTGATGATTTGGTTGAATTCTTTTAAAACTATTGGACATTTAAATACATGTTATATGTTTTCAATGCAGAGTTCACATTGTGGACAGTAAGGGTCTAGATATTGATCTGAATATTGTTAGTATCTCTTAAATTATAATGTAGGCAAATTTGCCTGCATATTTAAAATTTTAATAAGTTTTTAAAAAATTTTAATAAAATTTTAAATATTAATTTTTA